TTAGTTTTCTTTTTTTTGATCCTCTTCCTCTTTTTTGTAATGGTCGCCCGATGCGACGCGTTGAGGGTTCATTGCGTTTCTGGTCAAGGTCGTTCGGCGTTCAGTTCAGTTGTTGCGGTTAGTTGGCCAAGTTAACTGTCTGGCAAAGTGCCCAAGTAACTGTGACTGCGTCTACAACTTGGTATGCATTGTGTGTTTGGCTGCTTTGATATTTTATTTTAAATTTTTGGCAAGTAATGGGAAAAATCGAGACTACTTTTACGTATGCTACATAATCATGAAATGCATAAAAATCATTAGCGTGCACAGAAGAAATAATCTTAAATAAATAAAGGGCAATTCGATTTATTTTGAAAGTCATTATAGAGGAATATATATTCATCTAAATTTTTTTTATTTAGTTAGCTAAATATATATATAGATATAATAATAAACATATAAGCATATTTTATACTTGTTCAGGATATATAAAGAATGTCGATGCTCATCACTTCGAACAGCGAAAAATAGTTTCTGTCATGCCCCATACATATATTTCTTCTGGAAAGCTCTATATATATAATATAGTTGGAATTCAGTTTCTTTGTGTTAACTATGTGTATTTTTAGAAAATTGATAACCTAGATTTATGTATTTTCTTTCTTTCAAGCTGGAAATATTCAGCAATCTAGAAGTTACAAAAATAGATAACAATCGCTTAAAATATTATTGAAAATGTGTTATTATAGACATGAAAATATTGCATATTGAACTTTACTATAAAACCTAGTAAATCGATTGTGAAATTTTATAATAATATTATTTTTAAGAATATTTGTAAATAGAGCTGCACTAAGTATTAACATTATCTCAATTTGCTTTGGCGTTTAATTGTAATGCCTTGTACTTAACTGCTTGCCTCGCAATTAGTGAGCCGGGAAAAACCTGTTAGGCCAAATGGGTTAGCAGCAAGTTAACTGCAGTCTCGGCCCTTTCAATCGGCTTCCCTTTCATGACATTGAGGCAAGTAAAAGCCCGCTCGTTGATTTGATTTGAAAGTGATAATCATCATGGCAATTGAATTGTTTGCTGCAGCTGCTAAGCCTGCCGCACTCTCCGCCTCCCTCGCTCGACACTTAGCGGCCCGAAAAGAGGTCAATGGCAAAAGCATTTGAACTCTTGTGGTGTGGCGCGTCTTTCAAACCAAATTTTGTTTTGTTGATGTTTTTGTTTGCTTATTTTGTTGGTTTTTGTTTGTGAGCATCTCGGATTATGCGGTTAGCTTGGCAAAATTGTCACGCACCGTTGAATGCTGCGCCCAATTGATCCGTTTGCATGGAGGCGTGGCAGCTGAACAGGTGCTTGCACTTAATCAAGTTGTGGCTTTGGTCAATTGATTGTCTCTTCAGGCTTTGCGACTGTTAAATAAGGAAATGGCCAACGGCCACTGGCCCACAGAGCGCAACTGTAAATCTATGCAAATCTTTCGCGAGCCAGAAAAACCAGTCAAAAAAAAAAAAAGAAAAAAAGCAACAAGAAAGCAAAAATTAACAAAAAAGAGAAAAACAATTTATTAACATAATAAGTAATTCCGCCTCCGGAGCTGGTGCAGCTGTTTGGTGTGCAATAGATACGGCGGTCTGGTCTGTAGATTTCCGGGTTTTTCTTGACCCATTGACTTACTCCTCATGTAAATTGCATACGAAATACTGCTAAACATTAGAAGAAAAACTTAGACAAAAATTCAGATTGTGATCGCGCTTGTCCTCATTTTAGCTTTGTTTATGTCTCTGTTCATTTGCAGATCTCTAATTATTTTATAGTCATTTCTGTCTTATTGAGGGCGATTTGAAGCTCATAATTACAACAAACAGCCACACGGTTGGCAATCAAATACTAGGCATTACTGTAGCCGCTCTTGTTGTTGTTTCTATGAGTGTAAATTGCGTAAATTGTATAAATATTATGCTATGCAGTCGAGTCTAGTTGTACATTTTGTAGCCTTTGTTTCGGAGTTGTATATCTCTTTTTTTTTTGTTTTTGCTGCTTTTGGCCGCACTGAGGCGTACATAAATTTGATTTTTGGGTTTGTAGCAACAAGAGAGGCAGTTGAAAACTAAGTTAAATTTGTATTAATGAGACCGAAGTGAATTTAGAGTCATATAGTGTAAGAAAAGCCAACAAGGAAATTACAGAGTACTGTGTAAATTTAGAAACTTAAAATATTTTGATTATCTGAAATTGCTGACTGCTTGAGAAAAGAAAAGAAAAATTAAATTTTATGAAATGTCTATTATAATAAAAATATAAATACAGTTAAATGAAATGCAAAACAAATATATATAATATAATTGCAAAAAAAAATTAATAATAACAATAATAATAAATAACAAATAATTTGGTAATCGTGGCCTATGTAAATTATATTTATATTATATTATATTCATGTTCGCCCAACATTTCATATCTCTGGGTTGGCAACTTTTCAAGCAACCCATGTTAGTTAAACACAAAAATACAAATATATAGAGCGCACTGTAATTAGGCAGCACTAAAACGTTCGTAAATTAACAAAGGCGCAAATAAAACATAAAATAATTAAGCAATTGCTCAAGCCGCTGCAGCAAATAAAACATTTTCAACGATTTTGAATAGAAGACATGAAAAACTAAAGAAAAATTGCAAAACAACAACACAACACCACACTCTACTCCACTTCACTTCACATCACTCCACTTAGAATGTGTGTTAACTGTCTCATTATTTACAAAGCGTTTGGACATAAATATAGCTAATTATACAGCAATAGACATGCAGCAAATTTATGGCTTTTCCTATGTCAAAACACACTTCCTTCACGTCGACCAAAAAAGAAATGAAAAATTGTAATACATTATAAATGCATTAAAATTGGCAGAGAGCTCGATATAGGAAAAAGCAAAAAAATTAACAGGCCGACGGGCCGAAATATTGAGCAGAAATACTGCTAACGAGTGTCTGTAATTAAAATCAATGAAGTGAGCAAATGACCCAAGATATGTAAAGTGCTCTGTGGACAGCACGAAATGAGAAATACATATAAAATGTGGTGTAGAAAGACATAAAAATAGAAATAATAAAAATAAAAATATAAGTTAAAGTTGAGATGTGATGAAAAAACAAAAGAAAAAGCAAAACACGAGGATATATTTTAAGCTATTTTAAATTAAACTAAAAATCATAAAACAACATGTTCTATAATTAATAATAATATTTAAATAACATATAAAATACATAAAATCAATAAAATATAAAAATTCAAGATTATATAAATTAAATTATATATTATTATATTAACATATTATTGTTAGACTAAAATAAATTGAATGAAATACGTAGTGACACATTTTATAAAAATCTATTTTTTATTACACAAAGACGATTTTAAAATAATTTATTTAATGATTATTTTGCTTTAAAAAAAAAATTAAATAATTAATATTAATGAAAAAGAACAAAAATATATATATAAATAATTAATTAATCAAATTTAATATTATATAAAGTAAGAACAACTAAAACAGTTTGCTCTTGTCATAATTATTATTTTAATTCATTTATATAAATAATACTAATTAGCAAATCAGATATGTATTATCTTAAGCTAAGCGTAATTGTACTCTCATAGGCTCGTATGTCTAATTTCTATTGGCCAAATTGCATTTAACAATCAGCAAGGAAAGCACCGTTGATAAATGTTGATAAATTACAGCTGGCTTTTATTTTGAGGCATGTCGTCTCTGTCTGGAGCACAGGCAGCAGCTATTGCAACACATTCGTATTTTGCCAAATTTCTTTGCAACCGAAAAGTTGCCGCAAAAGAAATTGCAAGTCAATTACCGTCAGTAGTAGTAGACGGTCTGGTTGGCGCCATGACGCAATAGCCACATGTGGCAGCACGATGCGAGCAGCGACGCTAGCGTCAACGTCGACGTCATCGCATAGCGCTAATTGATTGCGGCTGCGCGTCTCAGTTTGTTGCATTCACTTTGCTTTAGCTTTGGCTTTCGTTGCTTTTGTTGTTTTCTGGCTTTTATTTTTGGGTCGTGCCATTCTCCGTTGCCTCATGCCACACACAGGCACGCACATATACACACACTCATACACTCATGCCCATTTGCAACGGAGTTCAGTTCCCGCTGGCCTAGCACAAGATCAATGCTGTGCGTTGGTCAAGAGAGCCAACAGGTTCTGTCCAACGAAACGAAAGACTTAGGCAACGAACTTGAATTCTTTTTTTGTTCGACTTTTTTTTATTTATTTTTTTTTTTTGGCGTAGCCAATTTGTCATTACAATTAATTATGCTACATTTGGGCGCTTAGCGGCATTTAAAGTCAATGCTCATAACTGCATTAAGGCTTGCATAATCTTCACGCTTTTCGCATGACCGAAGTGGCGCCAGATTATGTGTGCGAAAGCTACAAAAGAAAGTAGACCAGTTTTATTTTTGGTTTTTGCTGAAATGACTATATTGGTTTTGTGGGGTAGACTTTTTGATGTCCGTCAGCCTGTCCAATCCAATGGCAAATCTGGAAATTCCACTTCTGATATAAGAGTAAAGCTGGTGTTTAGGGTGCCAAGGACTTGAAAATTGGAATACCTACTTAATTTAATTAAATTAAAAATAAATTTTAAATTAATCGGAATTTTTTTTAAACCTTTAACTTGATTGATTTTATTTTGTAAATCAATTTATTTAACGCAATTTATGATGATCGGTTACATAATTGTAGAGATATATTAGTTTGTGGCGAGTTATTATTATTGTTTTTTTTTTTTTTTTTTATAAGTTAAATTCCGATCATCGATTTTTCAAAACATGAAATAAACAGGTGTATATATTTTAATTTTTTAAGCAATTATTTATTGTAATTATTATTTTGATTATTTATTTATTTTTATACAGATTATACAATAATATTTGATGCCATTTATAAAAAAATATTTTTATAAATATTAGATTTTAATAATTGTTTTTTCGTTAACCTTTAATGAGATTGCAGTTCTTAAGCGCCATCCTATTATCTGCATCGTAACCAATTAAAATGGATTCATAGCCGGGCAGACACTCACAGACATTGGGCGCCACGCATTTGCCATAGATAGAGCAGCTGTGGACGCAGTGTGGCCTGCACTCAAATCCATTTTCTCCTTTGGCCTTTTGCACTTTGGCGTAGCCCAAATCGCACTCCCACATATAAGGAGTAATGCAGGTACTGTGCTCCGGTTTGTTCTGTTCCGAGCATTCTGGGACACACAAATCGCTTCCAAATGTCTGGACGAAACCCTTGCGGCAAACACATTTATTTGGTGCTTGGCAATCACTGTTCGCCCCACAATTGGGCTCGCACACAGGCTTGCAGAGCTTTTCACGATCGTTCTTGGCGTAGCCAGGGCAGCAGAAGGTTTCGATTTTTTTCGACTATTGAAATGTTTGATGTGAAGCAGCTTGAAATGCTTAACAATATACTTTTTCATTTACTTACGAACAGATCAATGGGAAATGTGAGATTAAAATCATCAAATGCATTTTTAATCTTCATCCATTCCGGTGACAATGTGCTGTCATATTCCACCTCTCTTGAGCACAAATTGGGATCTGTAGCTGACTCGTCTTCCTCGGTGTCTGTGTCCTTTAGATTAGAAGGGACTTGGAGTGTTTAATACATTGTGTAAATTTGCATTTACTTACTAAACAGTCGGTGGGCAAGTCTTTTGAGAGTTCAGCTACCCTTTCCACCTCCTTGGAATTCTTAGGCGTTGAGACTTCAGCATCCATATTTGTTCCCTTGGGCAATTTTGTTGTTATTTGATTCAAGGGCGTAGGCTTGAGCAAAACAGTTTTTTTTATAGTCTGTTGGAATATAATTAATGAAGTTTTACGATAGTATCTTAGATTACTTACAGTATATTCATTGTCTTCTGCCAAAAAATTGAAGTCCTGTCATGTGGAGTAAATATTAAATTAACATTTTAAACAAATATTTGCATACCTACGGAATCAGCGGTCAGATTTAAGTCTTTGTACATTTTCATTAAATCATCTAGCGTCAGCGACTTTTTAATATCAGACTCATCCATATCATCAACTTCGGTGGCCTATCGGAACAGAGGAACGGCTTTAGGTCAACTTTTATATTTTATTTATAATTTAGTTTACTTACGTATTCTGCAGATGAATCGGAATTCTTATGTAAGCTTTCAGTTTCCTTCTGTCATTAAAAAAAGGGCTTAGGACTTGCAATATTTTACAGGCGAAGATAAATTTACCGAATTATTTTTATATACTTACGTTAGGCTTGGCAGTTTGGTCGTTCTTCGCTATGGAAGGTTTGCTCGTACTACGTACGCTTGAATCAGCGTCAGTTATCTAAACAGATTAGTTAAGAGAAACATACTTAAAACACGATCGATGATGTTACTTACTTCGGATTGGGGGAGGCAAGGTCCGTTTGACGTTTGCCTTTTGTAGCCCTCGCAGCAAACTCGTTGCAACTGCGTTGTCGTTATTCGCTTTTATGAATTCGAAAATATATATTTTTTAAAATTATGCATAGTAAATATTAATATCTTTATTATTTACCGAAATTCCATTGGGGTCCAACGTTTGCTGATCCCAGACCTGTATCAGTTCTGTGCACTCATGCTCGTCCACCTTGCGCAAACAGGGCTCCGACTCGTTCAGTCTCTCATAGCCATCACAGCACACCATTGGTAGCTTAAAAGTGTTGTATTTAATTAGGATTTAAACAGAGTCTAAGTCTCGCTTACTACCTTTTGCCTGTTAGATCTAAACTGTAACCAACTATATTGGTTTGCCGCGTCTTTGTCCACGCATAAGTTTCGATTCATCTTTGGCTTACATCCCGTTCCGCCCTCGATCTTCTCATAGTCATTATCTATGCAAGCACAGTGCTCCGGCGAATTGCAGAAGGCATTCGGCCCGCAGTTCATAGAACAAACGGGCAGGCAGTTTCCGACTGGCCCTGCATATCCGGGACAGCACTGATAGAAATTATTCTGTGGTGACAAAATTATGAGAAATAGAAAGGGGTTAATAAACTCCGAATTATGTATTATGCAAATACAGTGTAAACTCTGTAGATAGAGTTTTATGCACTTGAAAATCTCGCCGTTGACAGACTCAAGTGAACTGAAGGAGATTCGAGTGCTGTCAAGGCTTTGGCCAAGTCCATCATAGCTCTGCGAGAAATTTCAAGCTTCCAAGAAGCTTTTCGTTGAAACAGGAAACATATATATATATAGTTTAACCCCGTGGATCTTTCCCAAACAAATCGAGAAACAATATTTTTAGTCTCTCAATCAAATTCAGATATTACTTTGAGCACGACGAAAATTCGGACGTGAATTATACTCAGTAGAAAAAAATTCCAACTTTGCTGCACATATTTTATTGCACTTACCCAGTCGCTCCTCACGTCAATCAACATATCAATCGTGGTGCCGGGCATTAAACAGGTATTGTTGTAGTCCATTGCTTTACAGCTAGCTATAAGGATTATCCAAAAGAGGGATAATATTAGATTCTGAGTTCTACCCATGGTCAGTTCCTTAAGGCTTTCGACTTCAGTATGATTCCAACCGTCTGGTCGCGCTTACAGAACGCAACTAATTAAATATATATAAATATATTCATTTAAATATATATGTATATATATAGTATATATATATATATAAACATAAATTCTAGGAATCGCTTATAATTGGAACGGCATAGCGGAAGTGAAACTCTGATTATTTTGATATCATTCAATTTCACGGAAAATATACTTTTGCATACCAAATTCACAACCAAAAATAATTTAATTTTTTTCGATAAAAATAATATGACGAAGTCTCAAGTTCAGCAATATATAGTGATATGCGTGCTGCGGTCCACAACAAAACTTTTATCAAATAAGTAAGCAAATTTAAGTTACGGCAGTGCTCGACTATGAGATGCCCGTTACACTTGTACATACATCTATATGCATATACTGAATCGATTGAAAAAGTATACTTTTGAGTAAAATATTAGTTGGAAGGGCTTATCTAAGAACAGGGTATTTGTGGAATAAATAGCTGCATTAATCATTTTGGGTAACTTGTGTACGTTCGTCGAAGAAATATGATCATCCCGTTGATTTCAAAATTTTTTCTCAGATTTGTATAATGTTAACTTTTACACATCGAAAAACATTTGTAAAAGCGCTGGGTCTTTGCGATTTCGAATTACATATAAATATAATTGTATAATTGTATGTTTAACTCACTTGGGCTGATAGCGTGCTCTGACTTGTGATTATACTTCATACTTTACTTTGAAGAAAAGATCAGCTCAGACGAACTCACATTGTGTGCACACATACATACCTATGAAATGGGCTGTTATGCTCCAAATGTTCTCTTCAACTCTTAACTCTTTTGCGGATGACAGCTCTGCTGATAAACAGCCTCGCTACTGTCATCCCTGCTTTGCAGTCATCTGTTATATGCTTTCTGCCAGCGTTGTAATCCCAGTCAACAGCTGAGCAACTCAAGCATTTGGATATTTCGACACGAATTTTATGATTTAATAGACATGGCTGCTGCAATTTGGCTGCTTTATTTTTTGCAATGATAGAAATTAGTATCTAATAATCCAACATAAAGGCAATAAGAACAAATGTAAAAAGGTCACAGCTGCGAATTAGTTTTGAGCTCATCGACCTGGCCATAGGCACAATTGGCTTGTCTTCTATTGGAGCAGCTGTGGATGACTCTTCGGGCTCTTCAGTTGTTGTTGGCACAGGCTGGCAGCCCTCTCCGGGTATAGCAGAAGGCTGGTAGCCGTCGCAGCAGACTTCGCGTGGCTCCAATTTAATTTTTTCCTGGTTATAGGTCGAATATCAAGATATTAAATATCAAGATAGAACATATACATATATTCTATAAATATATCTCTATCATATATGTACTTACAACAGTGCGCATTTCGCCTAGCACACTTAGGCTCTTCAGAATTTTAGTAAACTCGCCATAGTTGTCCAAGCTAACGCGCTCCGTTACTGTGTACGGCACTTCGACATTTTTTATGCACAAATGGGGATCTTCTGTGGAAGTTGCCAGATGTGCGCAAGCACTGAGTATGGCAAGTAGAAGTACCAAAATTTTGCACATGATTAATTCAGAGCGTATAAATCTGAACTAAAACATCGTTTTGAAGTTCACCGAGCAGCTGTGCCCAAATCTTATATTCGCTCACGAATCAAGAAGAGTATATTTGTTTAACGGAATGCTGGCAGAACCCTCCACTTGATAGAGCGACCATTTCAACACTATTGAAGCTAAACATTTGAAATATGAATTGTGTTCTCATATATTCATTCGACTCTTAAACTGTTTAAGTGTGGAAAATCGGGAAATATTAGAGAGCATTTACGATGCCATTAATATTAGACACTTGTTGAACCTGAAATATTTGTATATTTATAGAGATTCGCTAAAAATGTATTATGAATAGCAGATATAACAGCTTAGAATTTAGCAATTGGATTACTATAGACTTACTCAGCTGATTGAGCGAATACTATAAAATACTATAATATATACATACATTCTGAATGATTATATATATTACACTCAGAACACTATTTATTGGCTTCAGAGTAATGTTATATGTTATAAGAAATATATAAAAGACCTTTTAAATATTTATATTTATATATATATATATATATATATATATATATATATATATATATA